TAGAACTATGATTTCTTGCACTGAGGAGTGATCCAGTCTAAGTTTTTTGTGGCTTCTAACAGGTTTTCCTCGAGGAGTCTCACAATTAATTTTCGCTGTACCTGCTAAAGCAAAGCATCCCCATAGATCAGGGGTGAGGAATTCCTGTTCATGAAACATTTAGATCCATCCTTGATCCAACACACCTGAATCAAATGGTGGAGTGAACTCCTCTGTATGTCAGTTCCTCCTGAGTCCTCTCAATTATCTGATTACTTGATTCAGGTCGATCGAAGGCACATCTAAAAGTTGCAGGATACTGGCTCTCAGGAACTGGAATTGCCCACCCCTGCCATTGAAGGATCATTCCTTCACTTTGTTTTATAGTTTAGGAAACCAATGCTCAGTGTTCATTTTTTCCACTGATAGCATTTCGGCACGTTAGCTGCCAGTTCAGTCTTGGTCTCATCTGATTTTTACACATGCTTACTGAGCCTGGTTCTGCTGAGGGTTTCTTCCTATTAAAAGGGAGTGTTTTTTCTTCTCCCCTGTTGTTGCAAGCATGCTTGGTGTGAGGGATTGCCTATGAGTCAATGAGTCGATTCAATCAGCTGGTTTTCCTTAGATAGACAACTTTTAAATAATCCGACATTATGATCTGATTGAATTGTCTCAGTAAAGTGCCTTGAGATGACATGTGTTGTGAATTGGCGCTATATAAATAAACTGAATTGAATTATGGCTCTAAATGTGGCTTCCTTTTACCCTTAAAGGCCAGATTTGTTGAACAAATGAGTGATCCCTTTTCTGATTAATGCTCTTCTTGTTTGGCCAATCAGTTAAGGTGGCTTCCATGTCTCTGTGGTTGAGATATACGTATTAAATTGATGTTTAATTGATTTGGATTTTGTTGCATATCTTCACACCAAACAACTCTAATAATAGCAAACTCTGAGGGCAGAGTTTTTGGATAATGACCAATGCTTGTCATACTTGTTAGGATTATTTATATTTAGTCATTATAAACACAATAACTAATTTGTGATGGTTAAACATTTGTGATTGCAACATTAGAAATTGTAAAAAAAAAAAAAAAAAAAACATTTATATGGCAATATGTCTATCAAAATGTCTGGTTCTTGTTCAAACAGATCACCTCTATGTGTTGTTATCTTACTGTTGCACCCGTCTCCATGTGTTTAGGATTATGAGTAAAAAACAAACTGAATCTTTTGACCTATGCTCCAGCTGTTCTTACATAACTAACATCTATTTAAGGCTATAAAGGAGATTATGTGAATGTTTTTAATGTATTATTCCATCAACCATCGAGTGAATAGTTAGACTTTTAGTTGAGAGGACACAAACAGTGTTGTGAAAATTTTAGAGAAGCTTTTGGTTGGAACTTAAAGATGAACAACTCTGATAAACGACACTCTGTACGTACAAAACTCCCTGTTTAGGTGATTCAGTTTGAAAGTTATTGGATTTCATACTATTAATCAATTCTTCATCCCCAGAAGTATTAACAGAAAATACTTTTTTGGAGACAATAAAAACCCAGGGATCGCATAAATTTCATTGACATTTTAATAACTCGATGATCATCAGAGACATTTTAGAGCGGCTTTTTCCTCCCACATGATGAATGACTCAAATATTGCCACAATAAAGGTCAGAGTACGCTGGTTTCCCTCTGCGGCTGTTGGTAAAACAGAAGTGTTAAACTCCAAGGAAGTATTTGACAGCGTTTCTTCTCCATTTATGCTCTTTACAAGGAGAAATGCACATGATTCCAGGAAAAGGAAACAACAAACCTAGAGGAAAAACATTTCTAGAGCAACTTTTCGGCATTATTTGAGAGAAACAGCAATTACAATAAGTCAGACAGACCAGGTCATTTTATCATAACCCCATAGTGTTTGCCTTGCATTATCTCTAGACTTAAACAGAGCAAGTATGGATTCACATAGGTAGTTCATAATGTTTAACAAGATAACTACAAGCTGCAATTTATATTATACACATATTTGCATTTAACCTACTATCTAACCAAAAAGGAAGTGCTATTTTAGTTAGAGGTGAGAATAAAGGGCCATTTAATGTCTGAGCATGTGTGCATTCAGATGGCTTGGCACCACCTGCTAGTGTATTCTGATGATCATTTGCATAGCACAGAAATGAAAGTGTGGCACTCAGCAGTAAAGCAGAACAACTTGCAAACTGAAAGTCATGTGTTGCAAAACATTACTTCTTATCAAGCACACACAGTGATCCTTTGATCTATTAACACAATTTGTCCCAAGAATGAACAAAAGTTTAGCTGTAGAGTTTGAATTAACTAAGGAGTGTTACAAACATTAACAATTAAGGAACAGGACTTTGGTTAAAACGTTAAGACATTAAGCTACGCAATAACGGTATCCTAACAGTATGATTAACTTTATTAAATCCAAGATGAATGTAGGCAGTAACAACAGTATTATTAATGTTTGTTCTGCTGTATGCAGAAAGTTTGCAGTCCACAGCTCCTATGAGCCACGAGGGGCCTGTAGCAGTCCATGTCAAACAGACAGAAGGCTTCATCCCCGGGGCAGCCATAGACCCCGACAGAGGCAGATGATTAGCGGGTAACAGAATAAGCAGCCTCCAGACTCACCAGAGCTTGGAGCAGCACCACCTGCCCACTGCCAGTCCGGCAACCCCCCTGGGCCATCAGATGGGAACCCCCCCCATCTAAGATATTGCACCACTAGGACAACCCACTCCAGAGCCCCCAGATTTTTATTAGCCATATTTACCATTTGAAAAACAAACATTTAAACATTTAATTTCAGAATAATCTATAGAATAATCTATCTATCCATCCATTTTCTGACTTGCTTGCTCCATCGAAGGGTGACCCAGAGACAAACATGACAAACAACCATTCACACACACTCACACCTAAGGTCAATTTAGAGAAGCCAATTAACCTAACAGTCATGTTTTTGGACCGCATGCTACCCACTGCATCACTGAGCAGCCCAGAATAATCTATAGTTTATTAATTTCAGAATAATCTATAGTTAATTTAGTATATTAAAAAAAAAATCATCAAGTGTTTTATATATTAGAAAAAGCAAATAGTCTTTTATTGTTCATCAGGGCGACCTCATTTAGCTTCTTCTTTCTGTGGCAAAAGGTATGAAATCAAAGTGAGAACAAATGTGAGACATTACTTAAATTATATATATAGCTGATACTCTTAAAAGCTGCATTTTTGTAATATATAATTATATATAATAAGCTTTTAAAATTTGTAATAATAGTGAAAAAAACTAGAAATTCTTTCATTTAAGTATAAACAAAACACAGACATTGTCCTCTCTCCATTCTATACTTGCTTAATCCTTACAGGGTTATGAGGTAGGATCTGGCTGGAACTAGGTTAACCTTGGATAGTTCTCCATGCCATCATCACGCTAAAGGTCAACAACGTAAACACTTCATCTGACCAAAAGGCAATTTAGACTCATCTGTTAACCTTAACATGCTGTATTTAACTATTTGGAGGAACCAAAGCTCGCACATGTGGAACAGTATGCTCTAAGTATGATCCTAAATGAAAAGTTACCAATGACATTCTGTACCTTCCGAAAGTATATCTACCTTGAATCTTTCCATAGTTTCGTAACAACTAGAAACTTTTCATAAAACTGTGTGTAATTAACTGTAGCAATGTGGTGGAAGGAATATGTTATGGGTTTCTATTAGTTTGACTAACATTTTAGGATCTGAAAAGTGTGTCATATATTTTGTTCAGCCCTTTTTAGTCTGGGACTTCTTAAAAACAGAACCTAATGTAATCTAAGCTCAGTTTAGAAGCAGCTGATCTTTGAATACCACTGAAATATTTTAAGATCATTACTGTCACAGAGGGTAAGACTGAAATTGTGTTACAAGCTTCGAAACAAAGATTATCATTAAACCGTTATCGTAAACTAACCAATGTATAGTTGTCCATCTAATCTGTCAGCTGTGTAAACAACCTAGAGAGGCAGCCCAAAATAACTCAAGGGAAGCTGTATTAATTTATTAAAAGGAGTGGAATTGGTAGGCCACTTCACAAATATAGCTTTTATGGCAGAGTAGCAGAAAGACATTATTGAAAAAGAAACAATAGGAAGTCCCTAAGGGAGAATCAAATGGAAGCTGATACGTTCAGATCAGACCAAAATTTAACTTTTTTTTTATTTATTTATTTTTTATGTTAAATGTGGTGGGTGATGAAAAATGTAATTGTACATCATTTTAAGCAAACGTTTCCCACTTTAAAAAGGGGGTAAAGACAGAGCTGTACACCAGGGGGGGAAATGATGGAAGCTTCATAAGAGACTGAGGTTTAATTTCTAGCTTTATAACAACCTCACAAATACAGCTGCTGTTACAAATGAATGGTTTAGATCAACACATTCTTCATTGTTAGATATGACCTGCAAAAAAAAAGTATTTTCTATGGGACATTTTAAACAACTAAAATTACAATTATCATAAACTGTGACAAAAAAAATAACAACGGACCGTTATACTCACTATTCTTCTGGTTTTGTTAATTGCTTAAAATCTCAATAGAAAAAAATAGGCTTGTGGTTGTCAGGCAGGTATACAATGAGCTCTAAGAACCAAATCAAGCTAAATAGTTAATAACTGTAATCAATTGCTATTTATTGCAATAAAACAAGCATACTCGATCAATCTCATATGTTACTTGATCTCTTCACCGCAAATGACTTAAGCTTATTAAAGGTATGATTTAGAAAACCTGATAACCTAAAACGAAGAATCGCATCAGGTGTATTTATTTTGATGTTTTGCATATCATCTAATATGCAATTTAAGTGTAGTAGAATAAAGAAAAAAATTACAGAAAACTATTGAAATCTGAGCGAGGCACTGCAGACAAAAAGAATGACATCAACAACTATATAAATGATGAGATATAAACACAGTCCAGATTTATGACAGAAAACCACAAAAAATTTCAAATGATCTTTTTAATAAATCAAAAGGTACATATATCTACAAAAAGTGTAGACCAACAGGATTTATGAAACTACAATACAATCATTGAAGATCTTATTTACAATTGCTGAAGTTTTTATTTTATGTTTTCCACATGGAGTCCATCTATAATCTCTGAGAAAATCCCAAACCTACTTTAGGAATGTTTAAGATATGTGAACACTGTCAGATTCATGAGGAATTCATTTACTCATCAAATGGTGCCTTGTTCTTCAGTGAAACCAAACCACGAACAGGAACTATAGGCTGACCCCAAACTACAAAATGGAGCAACTGGCTTGATTCTCTTTTACAGCACCGTCAGTAATTAAGACTCAATGGAACGACGTTTGATATCTCAGATTTCTAATGATTTCCTATTTTCAATCCTTAAAACCCATAACATTAAGCAGGTTCCTAATTTCAATTTATCCCCGCCAAGCATCTAAAAAGAGAGGCTGTTTGCAGGCGTTTAGGGATGCTTAAATTAAACCATAAACCCTTTTCATGTTGAGTTCGATGGACTCCCTGGCCTCCAACAGTGAGGCGCCCCACCTCCCGTGTTTTCAGGTGGGCCAACACCGTTATGTAAATCTCTTGTGCATGAATATTTTTTACTTTGTTTTAGTTAAGACTTGCAACGAACAGTCAATAAATGTTAAGAACATTTTTTTTTGTATAAACAGGAAGAACAAAAAGAAAAAGTGCATACTCAATAAGAACAAAAAAAGGGCACTTTGTCATTTTGGTGCTATGTCTTGTTTCACTCCATAAATACTGCTACAGCACAGCCCCAATCCAAGGCCCAGGAAACTGTTGAGTACGTGTTCCCCCATTGGAACAGACATATGGATATAGTAGAGAAAACTAAGTGTAAAAGAATGATTTCATCATTGCTGCGATTCCTCCAGATGTTTGGGTTTGAGCGCGGCCATCGATCCTAAGTTAAATGGAGGAGCGACATACATCACATTGCACATCAAAGTGTCTGCCAAAAGCGTGGAATGTCTCAGCCAAACGAATCAAGAGCAAACAAGATGGATAGGAAATGTAAAACCCACAGTAGATAAAATAAAAGGAAAAGATACTTTCTCATAATTAGTGATACACATATATATATTTACATGCTGCATTTTACAAGTCCTGGATGTAAAAACAAGAAAATATCTAGTATCGAGGCATAAGTGCAAACATGTAGCAGAATCTGGGGTCCCGTTTGCTTTTAGGAATGAAATAAATATACTTTTAATGACATAAGCCAAGAGATGTGGGCGGAAAAGGTTTGATCGTCTTCAGTGTCTCACCAGGAGACAGCCTTTAAAAGTGAGTAAAATCTCTCATTCAAGTCAAACTGTCAGTGTGTAACAGAGGCCGCAGCAGCTAAATCCACAGGTGTTGTAAAGGAAGACTAGAAGATAAATCAATGGAGGGTTGTGTTTTTTTTTCCCCTATGTAATTATTGGCTAAATCATTAAGGAAGACAAGGGAGGAGAAATAAACAGTCATCAGAGTGTGCTCTGTCCAGTTCTGTCCAGTGGGGGATGCAGTTAAGGCGATGGTGGATGCCAACGCTTCCATCTTCTCACAGAAGCGTGCAGCGGAAGAAGCTGCTCTTCTTGGGTTGCTCTGAAAACTTGACTCCCTGATTGCTGCTCTGAGGGTTGTTGCCCTCCTGGAAATACACAGACGAGAGTCCGTATTCATTAGAAAACGACTAAAACGACAACACTGACTGCTAAACTTTACGTTGCTTGTTTCCTTACCAGTTTCTTGTCCATCTTTGCTTTGATATCTCTGGCAAGAGTTAGGAAAGCCTACAGATAAAAATATGCAAATACGTTAGTTCTGTCTTAGCCGATGCTTCAGGAGAGTTGATAGTTTGGGTAGTTTTTTTTTGATAAGGAACATTAGGGGAAGCAAAGTTTAGAAAATAACATGAAACTAGGTGTGTCCCGCATGCACCATGTTTAAATAAAGTGGTTATTTAGCGGAGACAATGCCACGCTATAGCATTAGTAACAATGATACGCCCCCTTCAGTGAATCATTTTTAAACAAATGGAGGAACTAACTTATTTTAATTAATTTATTATTTATTTATTATTAAGATAGCAAAACTCTGATTGACACACACTGGACAGTGTCAGACACAAGCTGTCCTGTGAGGCATGGGTCAGCTATCAGGATCAAGGTTAAAGATGGTAAAAAAAAAAAAAAAATTCTGTATAATTTCTGTGCTTTAATGGTCTTCAAATGATATCACACAGAGTTTTTTTTTTTACAGCTGTATAGAGCCAAGAGTAATGTAGGGCCGTCCCTCTCCCACTTGTTGCTGCACCTAAAATAGGGTAAAAACACACTTCCTGACTGATAACTAGGGCTGGATATTTTCGCCAAAGTCCTGAATGGATTAGATTTTGATTAATTCAGTTCTAAATCGATTAATTTCAATTCGATCTGTTTTTACAATAATGAAAGTGGTTCAACTGTGTTTTAAAACACATGTATTTTATTTTTTTCCTGTCATTATAAACAAAGTGCCATCTTCTAAGTCGGACAGTTTAAACTTGAGATGTGAACAAAACTGTCTCAAAAGTGCAAACTTGTTTGTGAAAAGTGAAAAAGCCTCACTCGAGAAAACAGACGTGACACAGCAGGACACAGCAGACATGCAGGAGCTGCATTATCTTCAATGCTCAAACCATATTTGCAGCGTTGTCTGTAACAACTACAGGGTGTTTGCTGGTCAGCCTCTACGTGTCACTGTCTTTTCAACCTATTAGCTATATTTGCAGCTGTCTGGCTTGAAGTATTTTGAGTGCATCTTTCCTGCTCATTTGAATACGAACGTCATGCCACACTATAACACTAATCGATTTTTTTACCCAGCCCTACTGATAACACTAAATAAAATGGCTGTTTCCAGATATTTTTAGCAACCAAAATACAAACGATGAAACTGTGGGTAAAACCAAGGTCACGGTATTTAAAATCTACAGGTGGTCCTCTGCGGTTACATATTAGGAAAAGGTACAATATTTTTATGGCGGAAACAATTAATCGGATTAATTGATTATTGAAATAATAGTCAATTAATTTAAAAACCAATTACTTGTTAACTGGAATATAAAGACACTAAAAATTGCCCTTAGCTGATGAAGCAACCCACTTAGAGCAGTAATTATACCAAAATTGTAAAACAAAATATTTAAAAATTTTGCATTTAAGAAAAAAAAAACTTTCATCTGTCAATATGCTCTACCAAGAACTCTTTAAGTGTAAAAGTTTGTTTCATCTGATTTAATTTAGTAAAAAAAATCTTCTTTAAGGAATCTTTGGCTCTCCGATTATTTATCGATTAATCAAAAAAATATTTGACAGATTCATCAATTTTTAAAATAATGGTTAGTTGAAGCCCTAAATATTTTACAAAAAAAGTACTATAAGTCTACAACTAAACCAAATATGTAATAACATGGTAAATAATCCAAGTAGCTGCTAGGGAAGTGTTTCCTGTTTTACCAAAATCAGTCATTAGATATTTTGCTTTAGTGTCCAATCCGTGACACCATGGCATTTACACACATGCTTCTCATAACAAAACAACCTTGTCATTTCTCTAGAATACCATGTTTTCACACTTTTCTGAAACTGAAAGTCTACAACTTCTAATAAAAACATTCCAGGACAAAAAGAGTCTCAAAACTAATTTAGTGAGGAACACTATTTTTTTATTTTTTATTTCTTGTGTTCTGCCATAAGAAACAAAAGAAAAAATATCAAATCAAACCATAACCTAGAAAGGCTTAGCCAAATGACTATTATTCTAAGAGAAACTTAGAAGAAGTTCTATGCTTGGATTATAGAAGCAGGTATTATTGGTAACGTTTGAAGTTTTGAGGGGTTTTTTCAGACTTAAAAAGCTCTCTTTACATCACCAGCTTTTAATAATTAAGCAGCAACTGAAAACTGTCTTACTATGCAAACTAGCTTAACATTAAAATCTCTATATGAATATGATCTCTACTGAAAACCCTGCAAACAGCTGAAACTATTTTAGCTGTCAAATCATTTAGGTGTGTCTAAATATAAGACTTTCTCATCATCTGAAAGCCCATTATTATTATTATTATTATCAGGAATCTACGAAAACATAAATCCTCCAAAATTACATTCTGCAGATTATTTGGACACGTAAAGAAGTTTAAATTTTAAGTCATCCTGAAACTAAATGACACCAGATCATTGAAGCAATCAGGCATTGCTGGATGTCAGGAAACTGCTGCACTAACACGAGGGCAATTTGGCTGATTTTATATAATAAAACAAAAAAAAGTATGAACTCACATTCTCCACATTAATGTTCGCCTTTGCACTTGTTTCCATGAACTTGATGCCGTACTCCAGTGCCAACTGAACAGGATAGAGGAGAAGAAGAATTAAAAAAAAAAAAGTCAGAAACTATGCTGAGGTGAGACACCATGATGTTAAAGCTGTCCTTACTTTCTCTCCTCTTTCTTTGGACACCTGTCGTTTGTCGTTGACGTCACATTTATTGCCGAGGACCATCCTTTCTACATCTGCTGAGGCATGCTGCAGAGAACACACTGATGAGATTAACTGCATATTTCCGTATTTCGGGACGACACAGCGGTTATAATCCTTAGAAAATATGAGCTCTCAAAGCTGAAATGCTTACCTCTTCTATATTCCTTATCCAGTTCTTGATGTTGTCAAAGGATTTCTCATTGGTAATATCATACACTAACATGATTCCCTGCAGAATTTAGAGACAAATTTTAGAACACAAGAAAGAGTCTCTGAAAATAAACCAATTTTCTAAGCAATCTTAATACCAAGTCAAATATAGTCTATAGATTTTCAAATAGTAAAAGAAAAAGAAACAAAACATCGGTATGTGGCCTAACCTGAACTAAAAGAGAGGCAAGTAAAACACACCAATGGCAGACTATTCAGTTTGCTAGGTGTGTAAAGCATTAACAAGAACATCAATACGAGGCGTGGCTGTGAAAGGTTTCGGATTAACCGCTCATAACTTAATGAATGCCACTGCACCTGTTCAGTTTCAATGCATCATCTGGAAACATGGCAATGCAGCTTACCATGGCTCCTCTGTAGTAGGCTGTTGTGATGGTCCTGAACCTCTCTTGCCCCGCTGTGTCCCTAAAGACCAAAAAAAGAAAAAAAACATTCAGCCAAGTTTCCTTCATACTGCAGCTTAATTAGATTCCATTCGATACGACGCTTCTCCCAGCTTGTTTGCATGCTTTGCAAAGGTGCTGCTATAAGTAGCCAGCAAAAAAAAATAAAAAAACTAAGCTCAGAGTGATACAAAATTCAATTTAAAAACTTTACATTTGTCCATCTCACCATATTTGTAGTTTGATCTTCTTTCCATCTAATTCTATTGTTCTGATTTTGAAGTCAATGCCTAGAAAAAAAACAACAAAAAGAAAATGTAAGACTTTTCACGAAGTAACAGAAAAACATGGTTTTCATTTATGAAACAGCCCAGAATGACTTTGTTTCTTAAGGATGAAATCGGTTCAGATCTTTAAGGATCATATAGCACATGGACAACCAGGGTCTTTAGACTGTATATGTTTGCTTTCACTAATATTCTTCCAAAATCTGTTTTTCTAAAAACTTTATGTACGAATAGCACTTTAAAAAAACATAAAAAAAAAAAAGCTGTGATATTCTCTAAATAGGAATATTTAATGCATTTGGCACTTAGGAGCAGCAAAATATTTCACATTCCGACATTTTATCTTTATCTTACATATGTTTCTTTGGTCAAGAAGGTGTAACAGGGATTTCCCCAACTTCTTTTATCTAGTGGATGATCTTACTGCAATGGTATATTGCAGTAGTGCCACTAACAAAAATAACTGTGAGGGGGCATCTAGATGAACCCAATTAGGCTAGCAATGCAGTTATTAAATGCTAGGGCAGGGGTCTGCAACCTGCGGCTCCAGAGCCACTTATGGCTCTTTGGAGCCTCTCCAGCGGCTCTTAATAGCGGCTAAAATGTATATAAAGAGCTAAATAATTTACTATAATATATACCGGTATCAATAGCTTTAGCGTTTTTTATGGAAAAGAATGAGATTAAAAGAACCAGAAATATGTTTTAAGAGACATTTTTCTATGAATTAGCTGGAAAATTATACGTTTTACCATAAAAAATAGATTAATTGATTGTTTGAGATGGCAACAACTAAATTCCTATACAAGATAAAAAAAAAAAAGGTTTTCTAGATAAAGTCATGATATATTTTGCGGCTCTAAACAACTTTTATTTGGTCGTACTCTGGGCAAAACGGCTCTGTGGATATGAAAGGTTGCAGACCCCTGTGCTAGGGCAAGTTTCAGCTGTGTTCAGATGCGTTTTTATACAATTTTAGTAATGTATACTTCTCTAAAACAACAATCCAAATGGATTATTTTCTTTAAGAGTGTCCCAAAAGAACTATTTAGATTTCTGTTACAGCACTGATGTTTGAGCTTTGAGTACTGACCAATACAGTTATTGACAATATCAACACAAATCGCACTTATATGTTTTTTTTAGATAGTTTGGGGCGTTAGCACAGCTACATTTCTCATGTAAGTTTGCGTAGTTTTAACACAAACATTTATTTTTCATATTGCACCAGTACAGTTAATGAGCAACCTGTACTTGTGTGCTTGTTTGTTCTGTCTAAACTGTTTATTTTGGAATAAAGAGGTTAATATAAAAAAATATCTTTTGTCCGATTCATCGATTAATCGAAAAAATAACCGGCCGATTAATCGATTTTTAAAATAATCGTTAGTTGCATTCCTACACCTGACCCATTTACTATTATCCAATAGGTTTAATGAACCTTAAACAGAGAAGGTGTGTTTTTATCACCTTGCTTTTATCAGTATGTAGGCCAATATAATCCCATATTGATTTTTTGGCTGATATCAGACCTGTTTCTCATATCAATATCGGCTGTGGACATCCCTAACTTTATGTACTGATAATCATTAGATACACCAGAACTAACACCTCCCACTTAATTTGGTCTATTCACGAATCAACAACCTCATCCATGTACTGTCTGTAGTTTAATAAAAAAATATATAAATTCTTAATCTCATGTAGAATTCAGATCTAGACATTATTAATAGAGTGTGTAATACACTGATTCTTTATATCGCTTTGAGTTATTGAAATAAAAAAGTAGGAACTGGGAAAGAATTGCTCAAAGAAAACTTGAAACAGAATTGGCCAGAAAAGGGCCTGATCAGTGAATCTTTACCTATAATGTATAAATATCTCAAGGCATAAAAGAACATTAAATCATTTACTTTTAATAATCTATAAGTACTACCTTGTTAATATTATTCTGTTGCATAACAGTGTCATAGTGTTTTTTATTTGCACAAACTGACAGCCTTTCAGATGTATATTGGTTATTTATTCTCCAGGTGCACAGTATTTAAATTGTTTAAACACTTTACAGTACAGTAGTTTATTTGTTTATTTTATTATCACTATTATGTTATTTTTATACACTTTTCATATGTGTGACCATTTTTCTATAATAATTTTTGCTGCTGTAACATCAGAATTTCCCCATTTTCCCCATCGAAGCAGAGATAAAATGTAAACATGGTGATCCAATGTAAACATAAGACTGATGATTTACAGTTTTTACAACATTCAGCTTTTTTTCCCTTTTATTCAACGAAAGGGGATTTTCTATTCTATTACATATGAAAATTTCCCTTTAAAATGTAATGATGATTATTGTAATAGGAATCAATACAGCTAATTAAAAATGTCGAACTAGATGGTAATTTAACACTAGTTATTATATGTATATATAGTCTTTGAATAAGTTTGCGTGGTGGACAGATAAATGAATACCTTTCGCTATCGTTGTCAACAACAGATCGAAGTACAGGCCAGCTGGGCATAAGGGAAATGACACTGCCAACTAACTTGCTTAGCTTTTTAGCTTGTCAACTCTGTTGTCAACGTCTTTGTAGGCAATAAAATAATTACAGCAGCTCCAAAATATCGACATGGCATAAATACATCTTCTTATGAAGCACATTAGTCAAGTAAAATCTAAGTGAAGGTTTCATATAGACCCCCCTCTCAAACCGGTTGGGCATTTCCTGAGTCGCAGAATGCTAGCCTGAAAAGTTAGCACCAACTTAGCATGACGGGATGGGCTGCTCCGGTGTCGCTTTCTGCCCGTTGCGGCGTTATTAATACGATTACCACTCACCTATAGTTGAAATAAACGTTGAGTTGAAAGCATCTTCTGAAAATCTGAAAAGCACGCAGGTTTTCCCGACACCTGAATCGCCGATTAAAAGTAGTTTAAACAAGTAATCGTAAGTCTTCGCCATGTTATTAGCTAGCTTACTACTGCGGATATCCCGCCCGTTGTAGAGGCGAAGAGCTGGCTGCTGCACCGGGACTTCCTGTTGGTCAAATCAACTGTCACTCTGCGCTGTAGTCGTGGCTCCCGCCCGGGGTGGGTGTGCTCGTTTTGGAGGTTGTTGCCACCCGGATAAGACTTTAGTAGATGTGATGTTTAACTAAGGACTACACAAACTAGTTCTCATCTGAACGATGTATGTGATGTGAAAAAATGGCGTTGGCTGATGCTGACACGGAAATGAGACAATCCTACACGATCTGTGACAAAGAGGGGAGGCTAAAATTAGTTTCCTTTTACACAGAAAGGAAGCAACGACTTCACTATTGATAATAGAAAAAAAAAAATTCAAGGCTTTATAAAGAAAAGCCTTAATAAATATTGACTATAATTAGATAAAATATGCAGTCTTTAAAATTAGAAAGAAAAGTTCAACAATTGCAAATTTTACCAAAGAGACTGTCAGACCTATGGAGGACCAATTTTGCCATATTAAAAATAAATACAGAAATAAATAAATGCTTAGTAAATAAATAAGCATACAATTAATACCCGCCAAAATACATCAAACAAATAAATGTAGGTAGAAATTAAATTATACAGCTGCTGATGAAGGTTCTCAGTCATCCAGGTCAAAGTCATTCCGTAAAAATTCAAAAAATATCCACTGGACTTTGTTTTCTCAGTCATCAGAACCTTACAACACCGGGCAGAACATGTCCCTACTAAAACAGATGGGAAGCAAAAAGAACAGAAACACATCAAAGATGCTCTCCGAAACTGTGGATATCCAAACTGGGCTTTTATCAAATCAGCAAGGAAATCCAAAAGACACGCAACAGAAGACAGCGATGGGAAAATTAAACGCAAAAACATCACAATCCCTTATGTTGCTGGAGTGTCTGAAAAGCTCAAGAGGATTTTCTCCAAACACAAGATCCCAGTACATTTCAAGCCAAACCAAACCCTTAAACAGAGGCTAGTGCATCCTAAAGATAAAACCCCCAGACCGAATATGAGCGGAGTGGTATATGCTGTTCAGTGCAGCGAGGAATGCCCTGATCTTTATATTGGCAAAACAAAACAACCTCTCCACAGACGCATGGCCCAACACAGAAGAGCGGCCGCCTCTGGACAAGACTCTGCAGTACACTTACACCTTGTGGACAAAGGACATTCTTTTGAGGACCAGAATGTCCATATTCTGGATAAAGAAAATAGGTGGTTTGAGAGGGGTGTGAAGGAAGCCATCTATGTTAAGAGAGAAAAACCAACTTTAAACAGAGGTGGCGGACTCAGATTCCAGCTTCCAAAAACATACAATTCAATCATAGACATGATCCCTTCCAGATATCACCAAACCCCCCCACCCCATCACAGAGGAACGAGGGACCTACCCGCTCCAGCCGGTGAACAATACCTCCTTAACGACCAACCCTTAACAATCATAGACAGGTTTCAGGTATTACAGGAGACAATCCCCCCCCTTAATGGCAATCCCCCCTTTAACGACCGACCCCTAGAATCATAGACAGGTTCAGATATTACAGGCTAACGACCCATTCATCGGTTACCATTGCATGTTTCGAAGCGATACAAGGCGTTGTCTATATAAGACTCAAACTCACTGCGGATCCAGACATTTGAATCGAGAAAGCTTCCTGGAGAGGTGGCGAAACGTCTTCAAATCTTGAAAACAAAGTCCAGTGGATATTTTTTGAATTTTTACGGAAAAATGATACAGCTTTGCCTCATCTGTTCCTGTTTGGCTGTGACACGACCCTGGAGAGAAATATCACCTGTGCTGCTGCCATCAACACCTTTGTTTAAAGATGTTGGAGATCTGCCTGTTTTTCCAGTGTAGTCCTGTTTCTCTTACTGTGACTAACTGATGTGCTTTATTCATCCTCTGACATGGGAGCTGGCTCTGAGCTTGTCTGCCTGGCTGTGTGTTTCCTGGACGGGGCCGCTTTTTACAGTTGCTTTTTATATCTCTGCTTCTGTCTCCTTGAACCCCAGTCGGCCTCGGCTGAAGGCCGCTCACACTGAGCCTGGTTCTGCTAGAGGTGTCTTCCTATTAAAAGGGAGTTTTTCCTCTCCACTGTCGCTACAAGAATGCTTAGGGTGAGGGATTGCATCCAAGCCAATGAGCTGATGCAATCAACTCGTTTTCCTTAGATAGAAAACTTGGAATCAATTTGACTGTATGTTCTGGTAAAAGGCCTTGAGATGACCTGTTGTGAATTGACGCTATATAAATAAACTGAATTGAATGATGATTTTTTTAATTATGTAACCTGGGCAGGCCACGGTCTATCACCTTCTCCTAAAGATCATGACCAACTACAGCTGATAGATTCACTTTTCAAGCACAAACTGGATCTGTTTGAGAGGATGTAGTTCACTGACAAATTCCTGCATTAAAGGTCTAAGAAACACAAAAAAAATGCAAAAACTATAGATTTGTATCTGCACATGGTAGAGAGATCCATCGGAATCATTTTAAGCCACTGCAAGATTTTAAGATCAATTTAATTAAAGGGACTTACACAAGACAGTGCAGGTCTGCTGCAAGTATTCTGGATAATTTTCCACTTAACAAAGGTCTAGATGAATACCTAAACTATAGCTCGCCTATAAATTGATTTTGATGTTCTGTGGGAGGATGTTAACAAATTGCTTAAAGAATCTACAGAAATGCAGATTTTACATCAACTTGGATTTCCCAGCAGGAAAAGTGACTTAAAAGAAACATAAAAAAAGATTTCAATCTTATGTTTCTGAAATTGCCATGCCAAAATCTGCAAATTTACTCAGTCAAAAGCAACATTTTTTTATTTGACTCACAATCTTTCAGGTTGATTTCTAAGTGGTAGTGGAGCATAGTCAAGGAGGTCATCATCTGATGAAACTCTCATAATCATTTCATCTATAGGAGGTGAAGTTTGGGAGCACTGATGGAGACCGGTCCATTTATGGGAAAACTGAAATTGTGCAGAGAATGGAAACAGACTTTCATATTATTATCCAAGGACTGGGTAGAACTCGAAAGCAACACTACAGAATGCTTCACAATCCCATTATCGCATATGACTCACATTCTCCTGATCCCATAAAGGTATGTGGACAAAAAAACACATCATATATATATGGTAAAATATCATTTTATAAGTTAAAACTGTCAAACTAGAAACAGAATGGTTTACTAACTAGTTGTGTGTAGTGACCTATTTCATTCTGAAATGCAAAAAGGTTGAACTACAAAATAGGAAAAATTAACCCCAAACTTTATTGTAGATGTGCAAAGATTTCTCTAATTTAATAATGTTTTGTTCACTTTTTTTTTTTTTTTTTTATTAACAATCCTAGGTATAATTCATAGATGTAAGATCCTCTAGCCCCTCCCCCTGAACAGAAGGATACGCCCCTTTTAATTTCTCTCCTCCAGCACATCAGAGTTGTAAGCTCATCCTTGAAAAGAATATATGATGTTTTAATTCGATCTGTGTTGGACTATGGATGTATTGTTTATAAATCAGCTGCAAATTCTTTGTTGTTAGATTTAGATAGAATCCAAGCCAAAGCGCTTAGGATATGTAGTGGTGCTTTTCGAACATCTCCAGTTCCTGCTCTTCAAGTGATTACTGGAGAAATGCCACTGGACTTAAGGAGGATGAAACTGTCAATAAATTACTGGTTAAATTTACAAGGGCATGAGGAAAATCACCCTACTAAACAGATATTCAGAGAATGTTGGGAATATGGCCATAATATAAGGAGTTTTGGATGGGAAGGAAATATTTATGCAGAGTATTCTGGGATAAGTAATATAACATACTGTAAAACTGTAAGTACATCTAAAATTGCTCCATGGTTTTTCGAAATGCCAATAGTAAATTTAGAAACTAAAAAAATAGAAGAGTCTTGTGGAGGTTTGTATCAAATTATTCAGCAGCATTTAGAAGTAAGGTATGAAAATATGACACAAATATATACAGATGCATCAAAAGAGGAAAATGGTAAAACAGGAGTAGCAGTATATATTCCAAAAGAAAATATTTCTATCAAGAGAAGAACAACAGATAATTTATCAATTTTTTCAGCAGAGATGTTGGCAATTATTTTAGCATTGCAATGGGTGCTGGAGGTGAAGCCTAGAAATGTAGTTATCTGTTCAGATTCAATGTCTTGCCTGACTAGTTTTAAAAGTGGAAAATCTGAAAGCCGTCAAGATCTTTTAGATGAAGTCAGTTATTTAATGTATGGTATAAGGCAACAAAATATAAGTATTCAATTCACATGGGTTCCAGCACACAAAGGAATCTTAGGTAATGAAAAAGTAGATAAGTTAGCTAAAGAAGCAGTTAAAGTAGGAGAAATTGAATATGATGTCCCGCTAAGTAGAACAGAAATAAAAGTAATTATTAAAGATAAAATAAATAAGGTATGGCAGAAGAGATGGAATTTAGAAAAAAAAGGAAGACATTTATATAAAATACATAAAGATATTAGCATAGGATATAACAGTATAATGAGTAGAAGAGAGGAAATATGGATAAACAGGTTAAGGATTGGGCATACTAGTTTAAATGCAGGTCTAAAAATAATAGGGAAACACCCAACGGGTAATTGTTGTTATTGCGGAGAAATCGAAGGAGTAGAACATGTGTTGATCTATTGTAGCAAATATACAAAAGAGAGGAAAGAACTGGAAAGTAGAGGTGGGCGATACCGGGATTTTTTAATCGATCCGATACCAAGTAAATACTGGGTCAGTATCGCCGATATCGATACCGATACTTTTTACATTTAAGCTGCACTTGCCTGTTGCTTTTTTTCTATAAAGTTCTCAATCGTGGAATAAATAAGAGATTATCTAATGTTAGCTTATTTTAGCTAACAATTTTTAATGGGATAAATGTACTGGGTTTTTTCAAGGTCTTAACTACACTTTCTGAGTAATATATGATGTATAATGAAGTGCTGCAGACGATGACCACTGTTATCTACCTGGATATTCTCTGGAGGACTGAAACGCTTGGGTCAAAGATGTCTGTCTGAGGCTGGAGGCGGGTCTTTGGTCTCTCTCTCCATCCAAGTCTGAGTGAGCACTCACCCAGCAACCGGCAGCGCGGTTGTCTGTGTGACGTAGTGCTGAGTGGGCAGGCCAAGCTAAGCCTGCGCGCTGATTGGCTG